ATTGGTGACTGAATGATTCCATCTTCAGATCGCAAACTGAAGTTTCATGGATTGGATTCCCGGTGCGACCATAGGTACTCAAATGCGTACTTCTAAAGAAACTGAAGCCTTCCAGTTCTCCCTGGTTTTCAACACTTTTCTGGCTGATTTACCTTCATAATAAAACCATCTTATAAGTGTCCACTTTAACTGATGAAATTTCACAGTCTTATTAGTCGACTTCCTAATTTTATCTAGTAAACTATGTCTCGTGGTTTCACTGTTCATGTACTGATTTCCGAAATCAAAATATCCTACTAAAATGAATATAATCTTAAACTCAAGTGTGTGTGTGTGTGTGTGTCACGATAATTCGATTATTGAATGTATTAAGAAGTAGTGAATTAATCTCCCATCCAATAGAAGTTATTATATTCATAATGTTGATTACTATCTGCAGACCAAATTTACAACATTTTCATTAGACCTACGTAATTTAATAATTCATACTGAACTGTGTTCGTTTCTACATGCATGGTATATTTGTTTAGTTTCTCACTCCTAAACTTTGTGTGTGAGGACCTTTTTCCAGTCTTTTAGTAGACATTAGTTTCCTTACATATGTAGATTAACACAATACTCATGTGTGCAAACAAATAGGAAGCCGTTGATTAACGTCATCTCAGAAATACTATGATATCTTTATTTTTTTCAAAGTGTCGCCAAATTTGAATTTTTATCGGGATTGAACATTGACTCACAGTATTTTATTTCATTTAGAAAAACAACAACACAATAACTGTTCTGCCAAGTTAATAAATTACTGTGATTGCTTACCATTTTTTATAGCTACGTTTCAAAATGTAAATTTTATCGATATGAGTAATTCTTACAGGTATCCTACTAACTATTACAATGTAACATGATTATTCATATTTGTACTTTAGCCCTTAACTTTATCCAAATTAGGTGGTACATAAGCGTTTCGCAATACTATTTTGAAATATTAACAATAAAACTCTTTCTGTTCAATGTATCAATAGCACTATTTTTAAGCATAATTAACATTTATTTTTTCGAGTTAATTAGTGAGGGAATGATTTGAAGTAGTTGTTTTCGGTTGAGTTGTATAAAAGGCGGCGGTTGATTTATCTGTCTGGAAATTAGGTATTAAAAACGCTTTGACAGATAATTATTGTGAATTTTTGAGAGTTTTCTGTCGTTAACATAGTTCACCTATTTTAAAATCTAAATTTAGGGTCACATTTATCAATTTGTGCTACAATACCATCTAGGACTCTTCAGTAGCACCCTCCTCTACTGAAGTTCAAACCCAGGACATTCCGGTTACAAGGCGAGCTGAAAGACCAGTCACCCACTGAAACCTTATTCAGTGGTTCATGAATTCTAACTTCTGCCAGCTCGAGATTTATATACAGCGTGACGGCTAGCCAATGTAACAGGCGAATAACTTTTCTTACCTGACTTAGTGGAGTTCACTGTTTACGAATTATCACTAGAACTTGAATTGGTAGAATTTAACATCCATGGGCTATCAGATTGGGTTCCAGTAATTCAATGGCCTATAAGCTCACCTCGTAGTTGGAAAGTCCTGGGTTCGAACACCGGTTGGTACGCACCAGCGAAGAGTACCAAACTGGGACGAGAAAGCTTTCCAGTAGTTCCAGGTTTTCCAGTGGTTCTTTGACAGAGGTCAACCATGATCAATCCTGTAGACAACCTTTTTTATCCATAAGTACTATAGATATATTCATTGCTATTGGATTACTTTTGAACTGTTATGTCTAAACCCTTTACTAATAAGTGTCAACTTTATTTGTGATATTCATTGCGAAATCAATAAAAGTGATTCCACTGATGTCACCAATATCTATTGAGTAAGTGTTTAATACAGCCACAAAGTTGAGAGATATCAAATAGTCTTCTACTCTACGATAATATAGTCATGTTATCCAGCTTTCTAATGAATGCCTGACTATCACAGGTGGATTCGCCAAATAGCGCAACCACTAGCCAATGTCATCTGTGGCAAGTATTTGTCGTCACACTCAAACTGCTCTACTGCATTTGTCACAACTTCTCACTAGAACCCAGATAACTGCCTACCTGAATACAGCTAGTGGCTAGTGAGCATCGGACTAATATTCAAGTGTTGGTTTGCAGGGATTTGATCTGATTGGTTTCAGGATCTCAATCATGATCGCACATCGGTTAGAGAACCACTGGAAACCATCAGGGAGTACTGGACAGCTGTTTCTTCCTAATTTTGGAACTCTTCAACAGTACGCACCCACCAGCTGAGCTCGAACGCAGGACAGAAGTTGAAATTCCTGAACCACCGGATCGACTCCCAGTGGTTTAATGGTCTGTGAGCTCGCCTTATAACCGGGAAGTCCTGGGTTCGAACCCTGGTGGTGGGTGCCTACTGATGAAGTGTTCCAAACTAGAATAAAACAACTGTCCAGTACATAACCATTGTTTTTCCAATGGTTCTATAGTCGATGTCAGCTCGTAATGAAATCCTGTAACCAATCAAATAAAATCCGTGCAGACCGAAACTTAAATATCGCAGGTAAAATTTGGTTATATAACTGCCGACATTTGCATTTCATTCATTTCAATTCTCTGTATTTTAAGTGCAATACAGGGTTTCAAGCTTGAGGCTTGAAGTTTCAGTAGTGCTGATTTTGTTTTTATGGTATCGGACTGCGAGTTTCACACCTAACTTTCTCTCGTTACTTACTACCAACTACCTAAGCATAGTTTAGGAGCGCGTCGACCAGGTTTTCAGTTCTCTGTAATTTTTGTATAAAGAGGTGTTGGAACTAAATCCATTGAAAGCCCTCAACGTTGAAAACTTGCGTTTTTGCAACTATCAGGGAAAAATGTTTACAACTTGAAGAAATGTATGACCTTTTTAGTCATAAAGAATCTCCAGTGGGATTGAACAATGGATCAAAACTGGCTGCCATCTAGAAATGATTGTAGTTACTAGTCTTAAGACTTATCAGTCACATATGTAATATAGTCACTAAAAGAAACATTTAAACGTAGTGGAAAATTCTATCAGAAATTAGGTATTAGATATCAGAATAGACAGAAAATAAATGTTGTGATATTCAGCAGTGTAAGTGAAACAGCATTATAGTGATATGCGTTTATTGTCAATTACGCAACATCAGATAACGTAGAATTTCTCACCTGGACAATTACTTTTCGCTAATTCACCAACTAACTACCTTTATATATATATATATATATATATATATATATATATATATATATATATATATATATATATATATATATATATATATATATATATATATAATTTTTGCACTAAAAGCATTCATTAATGTCTGAGATAATCTTAGTATTCAAGAATTACTTAGTAGGGATTTGATTTGTTTCAAGCTTGGTCACTGATTGACACCAGTTGGAGACTACTGGATATCTGTTTCGTCCCAGTTTGGAACACTTCGGCAGTACTGTCTCACAACCCCATCAGGGATTGAACTTTGTACCTCCGTGTTACAAGGACAAGCTCGTTGATGATTTAGCCATTTGAGTTGCATTCAGTGACCCAGGAATTCCAATTTTATTCATTCTTTAGCAAAATAATAAGATATTTAATAAAGGAATAGTTAGAGATAACAATTGTTTTCAATAACTTCTTCAGTCTCTACTTGTCATGAATGTATTAAGTGTTAGCATACATTTGCTAGTAAATGCAGATTAAATTATATCAAAACCCATATTGGGATATAAGTACAAGTACAGGATAATAGTTAGTTTTCAATCTCATTTACATGCACATATAATGTTTGACCAATGAGCACCTATGAGATTAAATAAATTGACTAACATAATAAGAAATAATAATAGTTCAGTTTTAACATTGTAATCATAGTGAACAGTAATCAAATAATGTAGATGTAAGATAAACGCGGTGCAAACCAATAGGATCCGTATTATTCCTTTCAGTTCCGAGTGGATCATATGCCTGTAGCAGTACATCTCCATTTCATCCTGTTCCCTGATATCCTCTTTATCTGGCTTCACGATTGCCAACAAGCTTTCATCTCCTCATCAACACAACTCTCTCCATATCACTGTGGGACACGAAACTTATCGTTTCTTATTCACTTCCCACGTTCGAAACCGGAGCTGATGACCCCACCTCAAATAATCAATACAATCATTACAGAAAATTCAAAACACAGGCTGGTAGAAAGCCTTCAAGAAGTCAATTATTCAATCAGTCGGTGTGTCTTCTTTCGATGAAAGAAAGAATAACCATTTGGACATGGAATGTTGTCCGCCACTCAAATCGCGAAAGAGCTTGGAAGATATAGTATATAAGGTATACAGGAATCTGCGAAGGCATACGAAATTGAAAGTGGACTCTCCAAATTGTAAAGTGAAGAGTCGATAATCTACACAATCCAGAAAATGAAAAACACTTTTAACAACAGTAACGACAATAATACTGGCAGAAGGGAGTTTCTCAAAGTGTAGAATGTTACAATAATATATATGTGTGTCTGTAAAATAATGATTTGTCTCAGAACCGACTGAGTGACTGGTATAATCTGGTATTCAGGTGTTACTACACAATGTAACCGTGCACTTCAACATCCTTGTATTGCATATCTCCCTCAACGTAAATTCAAAAGTGAGCATTACTAAATTACAAATAGGTAACTTTGTTTATCAATGCAGCAGTGGTTCCAGCTTAAAATGTGTCCCCAACTCTGCCGGTGCACTCCGAAACCTCGGCTAGGTGGTAGTAAGCCACGGAATAGAAGGGAGGTTTGGCATAAGGGCAACAACTTTGATCTCATACAAACAATACCAGCGCTACTCAGACTTCAGAGTTCTAAACTTGAAGGTTAATGTTCCACTGAGAACGCAAAGGAATGAATGCATACGAATACATATAGTTCTATCAAGTAATTTTAAATTCTTTTTGATTTCTTATATTTGTGTTTATAAATCAGTTGGGATGATCTAATTGTCGGTGCACCATATCACTATTCAAATGCTACTGATGGTGGGCATAGAAGACACGGAGCTGTGTTCATATTTTTAAATAGACAAAACTATTTTTATACACCAATAGATGAAATCAGTGAATTGAAACTGTTTAGTTATGAATTTCCGGAGACTTTTCAATTACTCTTACCACCATCTCATAATTGTGGAAATTCACCGATTCCTGGGTTTGGAGCAACTATCACAAAACTTGGTGATATCAATCATGATGGCTTTCAAGGTATGTGTTTTTAACTATGCACTTATTATTGTGAACAATTTTAGCTCTTATCGATGGTGTTTACTTTTTGTTTCCAGATTATTTTTTTTAACAAAAAACGCCTAATTTTGCTTGTTTCTTAGGGTACTGGCGGCCTGCTTAAAACTTGGACAACAGAAAACCTCCATCAGTATATTACATATAATTTCGCTTATTCAATTTGTTTAAATTTAATAAAATCTGACTTCAAATAGTATTATGTACTCTCGCAAGTATTTAAAATGTTCACAATTTGCGGTTTCACAATTTTCCACTAAACATGAGGGAAAACATTATCATCTATGGCAGCTTATCCCAGTAAACGAGACGAGCGTTCTTGAGTGGTATCGTTAGTTCACAAAATATGCTGCTGAACTTTTTATAATTGGCATTCAACAAAATGTTGAGTATTCCTTGAAGGAGACGAAAAAGAGAAATCATAATGGTGTATTGGTTTGCTCTTCAGGTCAGACAGAACTGTGTCACTTTGGCACCAGTGACTCTAACGGTCATGATTTCACATTAAAACTTTAGGACTTCCACATTCGGTAGTTTTAATTTAAAGGATAGACTAGTCTGGACAGTTTTATAAAGTTATTCTAAAGAAACTTAAACTAACTACATATTTACATATATGAATTTTATCTTTTTTTTCAATACAATGTAAAGCATTTAATTTTTTTTTTTTTTTGGCGTTTGCTCGCAAATTTTGAAACACTGAAAGCGGTCGACTTTTTATTCTTTCACGTCCCCAGTGGAACATAAGGCTTCAAGCTAGAGGCTTGAAGTTTCTGCAGCAGAGTTTATTTTTACAGGATGGGATTGCTAGCCTCATGGCCAACCTTCCCTCTTTACCAGCATTATTTTTGGCTTAGCGAGGTAAAGGAGTGCGTCGACCGAGAATTGAACCTTGGATCATGTGCATGGTCGTCGAACATCCTACCACTGTGCCACCAACGCACAAGCAAATATGTATTTTCGGTAAATTCTCACCAGGCTTTACATTTAAATAATGAAGTATTAGTCATATGCACGATCAACCCTCTAGACTATGAAATAAGGAAAATAGAAAAGATTATTATATGAGAACGGCGACCCTGAGCAATCTGTTAAATTCACTATGAGGAAAACGGAGCAAACTGTGCAGAAGAAACGTATATGCACGACTTTACTGTGTAAAGGAGATGCAGCAACTGAATAACTGGCATCAAAACCTCAAAAAATAATAATTAAAACATTCTTTGCCGCAGCACTGTGTTTTGAAATTCGCACGTTGTATAATTCCAACGCAGGTGAAAGACAAGCTATTGAGTCTGGCCACTTTAATGACCATTTATCAATTTAACTATCCATGTGAAGACAGTTACATTGGTAGAACGACTTAGCAATCCCACCGTCGCCTTCTTGAGTGTTGTTCAACGTTATTAGGTAAAAGAGTCGTAAAGTCAATCAGAAGTTCCATACTGCCTAACGCCTTGCGGATCTGCAGCATAAGATTGACTAAAATTCAGCTTTTATAATTCTATACAGGGTCCCATCTCAAATCCCTCCTAGGTTGGTACATCTCCATTTTGTTAAGTATAGCTGAGGCAGTTGCCATAAAAAATTTTCAACCCAATCTCTATGTTCAGAAAAAAAACTGTTCATCAAGCTTCCTCCCCACCCTCTTGGCGTTCACTCCCAACCTCAAATAGTTATCTCTCCTAGTGACACCGAATAACTGTATTGTCGATATCATGCTGTGCTGGAGTTGTACATTTTATTCTCGATTTCACTATTTATTACTATTGTTAATATATATTCATTTGTTTATTCGTACTATTCATCTGTAATTATTTATTTTTATTTGAAATATATAAAAGATTTTGCAATCGGCGCCCCTTATGAAGAATATGGCGGAGCAGTATACATTTATCATGGAAGTAAATCAGGAAAAATTCAAACACCAACACAAGTAGGTTTACGCCCCCTCCCCCTTTCTTCTTTTTCTTTTCTATTGTCTATTGCGTGTGCGTGTGCGTATTTTGTTGTGGTCATGGAAGAACGAGACAGCATCTTTTTGTCTTGAAGATTTCTCCGACATAATCTTCGTATACTCCCCTCCTTTTTCTGTACCTCAAAATGTGAAACACTGTTTACTATACACCTCGAGGTTTTAAAGTCATTACCAAAAAAATGTTTCCAATTTTACCACACTTCAAAGGATAGTAGAGTCACTAAAGTTGGGGTACACTATTGGAACTACAAAAATACGCCAAAGTTATTGGAGGCTTTTAAGTTATTAAAACAAATTGTTTTCATATTTGAATATTGAAGGATTTACTGAAATTTTGTGTTTACTTAGCGGTTTATTTATACACACAGCACTCTGATGACATTATTTTCTTATATTGTGTGCTTTAAGATATATATATATATATATATATATATATATATATATATATATATATAGAGAGAGAGAGAGAGAGAGAGAGAGACTGAATTTGGTTGTTACCCTATCTCCTTGTCCCTAATTTGGTGTCAATTATTTCCAAAGTAGTTCAGTTCATGTTTGTATGGCTAGTCGAAATGGTTGTAGTTTTGAACTGATTGGATTCTGTGAGTTGTACACAACCACCGTGTTCCTCAAGAGTGATTCTTCCACTTTCTCTGTCTTTTTTCTTCTTACACGACTTAGTTAACCCATCATTCTGACGAAGTCAGTTTTGTCAAGTACGTCGATGATGTCTCAGTTAGACTGTTCCGAAATTAATAAGTTTTTTATTAGAAATTAGTTAGGGGCCCTTGTCAAATGGTCTTAAGCTTAGTCCCTTTGAATATCAGGTGGTTAATTTAGCTTTCAGATGCAAGTGCGACTTATATGAACTGGTTAGTTTGTACATTCCACCACCATAGATGGCACAGAAGTTGAAACTAAATCGAACTGTTAAATACCTTGGACTGTGTATTTCCTCTGATCACCTTTCCTGGTCTTCCCACATCATGCTAGTTGCTAAAAGATATTTCGTTTGACGTTCTATGTGAGGAAGTTAAGACTATCTGCTATCACTCCGTCTCTATTGTTACAATTCATTAATACTTGTATTTTACACATACTTCTTTACAGCTCCCTGCCGCTTAATCTTTCCTGGGCTACTTGAGAAAGACTTTGTTGTGCTGCGAAGTGCAGTAAAAGTCATCAGTAGGACTAGTGAGTTCTCGCCAGATCAAGTCGTTAATACTGTTGTAGATAGACACATGGACCCATCCAAGAAATTAGCGAATATTGCCTTGTCAGACTGAGAACATCCTCTTCAAGCACAACTCTCTTCTTGCCGCATCTCATCGAGTAGAACTAAAAGCAACTAAAGGAGACTCTTTGCTCAAACGACTAATTACAGAAACTTTACAATACCTTATTTAGCGCTTATGTTATGTGATGAGAAAAGTGTAAGACAGGAAATTACCAACTGCCTTACTGAGGAACTCTTAGTTTAGGCCCTATTTTTACACCATTATGTTGTTACTAATATTTTCACTTAGTTTTATATTCATTATCTTATTGAACAATGTTATCACTCCAAATGCCTCCCTGTTTTAATTATTACCCCTGTAATGAGGAAGTTAAATGCAATACCGTACTACATGCTGAAAACGCCATATTTATGCCAAAAGCACTGTTTAGAATAACGCTGTTACTATCTTGTATTCTTTGATTAGACATGAGGTAGTATATAATATCATGTGTATATTCCAGTGCTTGGTAGAGACTGAAATCTACCAGCCACCATGCGAGGTGACTAAGTGCACTCTGATTTGTTGTTATGAGATGGCTGAAGACAATTGGGTTTCAGGCTTGCTGTCGTCAAGGCGTATCTTCAGTCTTGAAGATCAGTTGTGAACCTGAATAACTCATTGGTAACGTCTCTTACTGCAGCACTCACTGAATGACAGGAGTTTGAATCTCAAAAGGGACAAAGGTTCCTTGAGGATTGTAGATACGCCTCCTAACTTATGATCAGCGCCAAAAAGCACGAAACCTATGTTTTGAAGGCTTCCTTCAGATAGCCTCCAACAATATAACAAGAAGTTGTGTTTACTTCTATATAGGGAAAATAAAATTTTAAAAATCACCTATATTTAACTCTGACTGGTAGCTATTTACATAAAGATAACTAATAATCAAATGACAATGGGAATATTACTCATAGATGGCTACATAGAAGTGATATTTGATTGGTGGACTGTCATGCTAACAATTTGTTGTCATACACACTTGCTTTGCTATAGTTTGAAACCTTTCTTTAGTGGTACGCACCTTTGGCTTACGAGAGAAATTATTTCATTATTTAGCCATTATGTTGAAATCCTATAATCCATGAGTGTTCCAACTTCTTTCACTGTTCATAATTTATACTACCACTGCTATTCGCTATCCATTTGTCGGGGTACACCTATCGAAATTTCAAGTTTGACCACGAATTGATGTCAGTTAGAGCGATATTGAAAACCAACAGAGAGTACTCGATATCAGTTTCGTCCTAGTTTGGGTTGCTTATCTTTCCATCGTTTGCAACAATCTTATTAGAACTTCAGGTTACTCTCCTTTAAATTAATCAGTTTGGTGGGATTTAGTTATGCGTCCACAGTGCTCTTAAGAGCCTAAAACGATTTCTCCATATTCTAACTTATAACAGTTCGTAAGGATATATATATATATATACTGCAATCACTTGATCAAGCATTGGCAACAGTTGTTTTAAAAATAGCCCCTTATGTTAACTTCACACGACTGAATGTTTCATGGTTAGTTATTTGTCATGGCTGGTGGTTGATTAGTGTTGAATCTATAATGAGTTAAATGTGTTACGTCATCTTAGATCACAGAGTAAGATGTTAAAATGCGTTTATTCTACCACGGCTTTACGACGACCGAAAACTTTGAAGATGTAATCAGTAGTGACCTTTATCTGACTGACCAAGTTTCAACATAGAACTATACACAAAAGAACACCGGTTGTTACTAATGCTCCTGCAATCCTATTACTCCAGAAAAGTTGTATGGATAGCTGTCAAAGTTAAGGTGACTGCCGTAATAATGTAAGTTGTCTACACTATTCTGAGGATCTGTGGACAGAAATATAACAGCAGTAAGGTGCTCCCCTCAGATGCCCATCATTCTCCACCTGTTTTGTCTATCCTCTAAGGAGATGTGGGCTGGAAAAGGTCGACTCCGAAAATTAAACATCCTGACTTATCATTTTATGGCAATCTGTAACCAATGGTTAGATCTAAATACGGAGACAACTCCAAAATCCAACTCAAACTCTCCATGTGTAGCTGACATTAAGCAGTTGTCTCTTGATCTCTGCGATCACTCAACACAAAAGCTCCTTCTGTTTCAGGTACTTCCAGAAAGTGACTTCATCACTTGTCGTCTATAAATTGTTTAACTTTCTGTCTGCCCATGTTCAAGTTTCTTTTTGTATTTCACGCCTTTTTTGGCTTGTATTTATTTGGTGGAATAAAACAGAAAAGCTCCCCACTTCAGATACATGATATATATCATATATTATTATAATTTGAATGATTTAATTGTACAGTCATAATCATTAACAAGCAAGGTAATTTAATACTATGATAATAAATCAGGTGAATTAATTAAAGTATATGAAACACGCTGGTTTAAGAGTTGGTTAGTAAAGTGAATTTAATATGACGCCCATATATTATAACAACAACAACAGGAGTCTTATACATGGGAATCAAGATTATCAGGCATAGTTAAATGTGAAAAGGCAAATGGCCTTCCATTTTCCAAAATCATGTGTTATGCAAATGTGTGAAGTCTGCCCATCTGACACTTTGTGTTTGGATTTTTTAATGTTGCCAAAATTGTAATTAGGTCAATCCTTTTTTAAATTAGGAGTTTTGCCGTGGATAAAAGCGAAAGTGTGGATTATCTTTTCACCTGATAGTGTAGAAAGATTTTGAAATGAAATTATGTATAAATCATCCTCTTTCAAGGTGGAATAATCTGATTATTCTACATCTTGCTTAAGTTTCGATGAAAGCTAAGTAGACTAGAAGATTGATGACCGAATAAATAATACTCCTTCAAGGCTGCAAATACGCCTTACTGACTGATCAGTGCCAACTAGCTCGAAACCTAGGCTTCCTGCCAATGTCTCCAACTATCTGATAAATAATACTCTTTACAAGACCCATCATGAGCTGACATCGTTTGGAGAATCATTGGAAAACCATCAGGGAGTACTGGGCAGCGGTTTCGTCGTAGTTTGGGATTCTTCAATAGTACTTACATGCCGCTAGGTCTCTGCCTATTCATAGTATGGCGCAACCACTAGCCAGTATCATCTGTGGCGGATATTTGTCGTCACACTCGTACTTCTGTAACCCATTGGTCATGACTTCTAGCTAGAATCCAGGTAACTACCTACCTGAATGGCGCCAGTGGCTAGTGAACATCAGATTGATATTCAAATGTTGGTTCGCATGGATTTGATAGGTTACAGGATCTCATCATGAGATGACACCGGTGTGAGGTTTGAGGATAAATACTCGCCAGGAATGATATTGGCTAGTGGTCGCGCTATATCGTTAATAGGCAGAATTTGGAATTCTTGGACTATCCGATGGATCTGGTCTCAGTGCCATTATAGTCTGTGAGCTCGCCTTGTAACAGGTAGGTCCAGCTTTTTAACCTCAATAGTGTGTGCGTACTATTGAAGAGTCCGAACTGTGAAGAAATCGCTGTCCAGTACTCCCTGCTGGCTTTCCAGTGGTACTTTAACCGATGTCAGCTCACGATGATATCCCGTAACCAATCAAATCCTTGCAAACTAACATTTGAAATTCTGTTTTCTTCGATAACTTCTTCTTCATCAAGTTAATAAATAAAAAGTTATTGTTAAAGTACAATAATAATGTTTTTCTAAATAACACTGATTCAGT